GAGCGAGTTTCCATCATCAAGTGACGATAAAAGGCTAAATGAGCTAAATTGATAAAATATGCAGATGGTTACATTCAGCTTGATTTTTTTGATGACAGCAACAGAGAACTAAAATGCGTCATGTGTCTCCAGGTGCTGGCACATGATGCCAGGCCGCAAAGCAAGCACTGAGCGCGCAGATTGAAATACTTCTTTCAGTTACTATGAAACAGGTCTGAAGCCTTTAAGGTGAAAGGTTTTAGAATACAAACAGCTCTAATTGCATCTGAGAGTATGAATGGTAGTAAGGATATGCTTAATGAAGATTATCAGGGGGCCTTGGAAATGTCTCGCCCTTGTAAGAGATCCCAAAACGTTTATTTTATGGCCTCGCTTGCTCCGCAGATTAGAGTAAAATGAGTCATAATTCAAAAGTGACATGATTTGATCCAGACTCCCGCTGCAACAACATCACAGGGAAGATGTGCAGTATGAAACCAAAATAATTTATCGCAGTTACACACCCACAGGAAGACTCTAACTAATTTCACTGATTACCACGAATGGTTTTTCCATTATTTTTGTGTATAGCCAATCAGGGGCACCCTTAATGGCATCCTGCATGTAAACAACATGAAAGTTGTAGCTGAATTAAAGGTCAGAAAGAGGAAGGTGTGTTTATTGTATGTTTTCAGAGTACAGCCGAATGTAATTGTTGATGTTGGCTCTTAAGAGCACCCGTTTAGTTTTTCCTGAACGAGCTCCTTCAGTGATGTTTGCGTGCCCGTTTTATTTACAGCCGTTAGGGAGAAGAGTCCATGCAGAGTAACTTTAAATGAAAACCAATGCTGACACTAACCTCTGGTACTTCCAGTACCTCCTCATAACTCTCTTTTATGGGCCACACTGTTACCTTTTCCCATGAGAACCCTAAATACGCTCATCGAGCATCCCATCGAAGGCAGCAACATAGAGGCGACCAAAAGTAGAAGAGCAGAAGACGGGGACTGATGTCAGGACTTGTTACTTTTGTTTTTGGCTCTCACCTTGCTGAGTCATTCAAGCTTTATGGATGCAAAGTACAGAGATGAAGATGTGCATGTGGTTTTAAATATGTGCACATTTATTCCACAGCAACAATCTGCAATGTTGCATTTCTAATTGCATTTTTTTTTCTTTACAATACACAGTGCAGCCTACAGCGCTTTGATGGAGTTTCAATAGTCTAGTTTTGCTAAAGTGTAGTAAAATATATTTGAACATTTTCCTGTATTTTCTAAAATTGCCCTAAAATAATTCTAAAAGTTAAAGAGGACTCTGGATCCCAACGGCTAAACAAAGTTACTTTGGCTGAAAGAAGATTTTAGCTTTGGCACCGACTCCACAACATACACAAAAATAATATTTGGATACAAATGCATCATTCCAAATACAATGCTGTCTCTTGCAGACTTGTTAATATAAAATTTGGCTCTTTGAGTTGCAAAAAATCTGGCATTTGCAGAGTACAACCAAAAGTGATACAATACTTGTAGTGCTGACCTTTCCATTAGCAGTGCTTCCTGACTTAGGTCAATAGGTAGAGGTCAAACAATAGGGGGCAGACCCGTGTAATTATCCAGGACAGGGAAATCCTGGTCTAAATCAGAATGATGTCCAGAGAATTAAGAGTCTAAAATTGTGGTTTGCTTGATTCTCCCATGACAGCTCAGTGATTAATGCATGATAAATGTTTGAAGTGTGTGTGTGTGGCAGCTTTTACAATGAGAATCAAACCTCCAACTGCTGTCACCTTGGCACCGTTTAGTAGTAACTGAGCTACTCACAAGCGCAAGTCTGCAGTCCAACTGCAAGCGCACGTCCATTTATTACACTGTGTTATTCGTTTGTTTGTAAACAAGATGTGACAGTCTGTGGACAAAATGGAGGGAAGGAAACAAGGACAGTCTTGTTTCTTACAGTCAGCGTGAGGATGGATGCTAATCACATGGCAGCCCCAAAAGATTTCCAAACTGAGACCAGAACCTCTCATTTCAAAAGGCCTTATGAGGTGAGATGGATAGATGGGCGTTTAGAACAAAACACATCAGAACGCACGATTCGCTAAAGCCTGAGTGATGTGCCGGCCTCGGCTCTGACAAGATCATTAGAAAGGTTTGGAGGAGAGCAGCGACCCCGGACCAGCAGCTAAAACTTCTTTGTCACCTCTGACACTGTCTAATGACACTCATTTGCAATCTGACTTCCTGAACATTAGCAGACGATTAGACTACGATAACCACTGCAATTAACCTCCGCGGTAGTTTTTCAATCTAATGCTTTCCTGAAGAACTGTCGCATCGGGTAGTCCCACACCTGAGTTTACACTCTGGAGAAACTTGAGTGCACTGTTTCTGTGCAGTTGTATTATATAAGATGCTGCATATAGAGAAAGTTTGCGACATTATTTCACATAGGCCATATGTTTCTAATAGCCAGAAACCAGCATCAGAGAAGTAATCTGTCTAAAAGTCTGTGTTTAGCTTCAAAAGTATACCAGTGTAAATGAGCAATGTTATAATCTGAAGTATAAAAATAAACAAAAAGTGTGTTCAAAACTTGTGCACAAACACACCAGAGCAGTTTTGAGTAGGACCAGTCATACGCTGTCTAGTATGTGAAAAACCACATCCATGATCACCATTAGGGGAACGGAATTGAAATATATTCTGTTTGGTTTAGTTTGAAGGGTACAATTTGTTCTTTGCTTATTTCAGAGTGCATAAAAAATGTCAGTAAGTGGGAGTGTTAGCATAAGCATAAACGCTGCTCTGCTCGCGAGCCTGTACGCAGTCATGCTATATGAGCACAAGCACCTGGACGTGGAGTATAGTTTGATGCTGGGCAGACACACGCATTATTTAATCACCAAACTTTCAGTCTGAAGCATGTCGAACATCTGCACTTACCATCAGGTGGATACAGATTGATGAAATGCTTTTTCTAAATATGCCGCCAAGACAAAATATGGCCTGAAAGGTTTAGCCTTCACGACCGAGTTCCCATATTAAGATTCGCTTTTCTCCCTGGAAGGTTCTTACCTATTTCCTAAAACAATCAAGTGGCAAGAGCTGCTGAAATTGATGGATTGTGCCTCTAATGCCATGACCTGATGCCATTATAGTTAGTGACACGTTGCAGCCTAATGGCTGAGCTCTTTCTGTGCATGTGAGTAAAAAAAAGTGTACATGTGTGTGTGTGTGTGTGTGTGTCAAAGAGGACTGCAGGCGAGGGGAGGGAGGAAGAGACGCTAATTGAAATTCCTTCAGCCATGTCTGGCAGAGCCTTGGTGTCTGAGTGGCACACACACGCACACATATTCACACTGGCCCTAATAAAAGTGGGCTTTGCCATATGGAGGCCATGTGCAAGACTGGCCTCTCTGTGCTCAAGCGTGTGTCTGCATCTGAGTGTGTGTGTGTGCACATGTACTCAGCAGGCGAGCTTTGTACAGCACCAGAGCGTCGAGTACAGATGCATGCAACCCTATGACATGTGTATGAAGGTGTGCGAGTGATAAAGACCAGTTTAGAACAAGTACACAGACACTTGACATCATACATTTAGAAGAAAACTATTCAGTAATGCAGCGAACGCCTGTTTTCTAATAATAAAGATATTAGCTTGAGTTTTGGACATCACCCATCTAATTCAGTGAACTGGCAGGCAGACTGTGGGCAGGTAAATGTGGGAGCAATGTTCTGTTCTCACTCAACAACTACTGTCAGTATGTCCTTAGGCCATGCAGTTATTCTGTGCTGCTCACAGGCCAAAAGACTGTGGCAGACTTGGAGAACTTCCAGATGTGTTCAACTAGAAGATAAAGCCGCACACTACAAAATGATAACAGCTGATTTTCTGTTCTGAATCAGTCATAACTGATTATGATGAGCCTTGCAAGTCGTTAAAACTATTTAGATTTGCTGCAGTACAGATCTGATGCTTTGGTGAGATTTGTGTGATACCATCTGGCTATTTAGCATTTTTTTTAGAAACCAAAAATAATTTGTTTTTATTTTGGGGGGCAGGGCGTTTTTCCTGCTGTACCTGTGGATTTTGAACTCATCCTTGCATTTGTACTATTTTCCTTCAGAAACCTAAGGTGCTTTTAATATACTGGCGGAGTTTCTGAGTTCCCAGCAGCAGAGGAACTGTGAGTGTGAAAGAGAAACTGTGTGAATGTGAGGCTGAGTGATGCTGACAAATAAGCATGTGTGCTCAGTGACCCTTCTCAGGATAAATAAAGGTTAAAATCATATTTCCCTGCCCGCAAAATGCACAACCAGGAAAACAAAAAAAGGGGGAGCAGGAAGCGTTTGGTTATTACTTTATATCTGAGTCAGTACAACCTCATAGTTAGCATATGCCCAACACTATTATAGCAAGAGCACAATAGCAGCAAGGAATAAGAGTACTTGTCATTCTCCCCTGGGGTTTGGTAATAGCTGTGTTTTAGATATTTCCTCAAACAGGAAGAACTTTCTCTGGGCAATTTCTAATTGGTTCCAGTGGATCATCGTTTTTTTTTTTTTATCTGCCCGGTTTACTTTTTTTTTCTTCTCCTCTCCTGCTCTTCTACTGTCATGCTTTTCTTTCCCAAACTCTTTGTAGTCAGGCAATATGCCTGCCTCTGCACATGGTGAAAAGGCTGCAGGCACGCAGCTCTGTTACTTGTTCTATTGCCCAGCTACCTGTCTGGAAGTGCATGGGTGCTCACAGAACGGAAACAAGGAAACATCAGTGGCCACAGATAAACATGTGAGATGAAGTGGAGGACAAGCAGTGCTGCATTTGCCACAGTTGTGCCACTGACAGATACTAAGGTTGCGTTTGGCTCTCTTTAAAAAGTCTAAAAAGAAAGATCTCATATCAGGATCTTGAATATGAAATTGATTTCTGACTTTCATAAACTGCTGTGTGTGTGGTTAAAAGCTGTTTTCACCAGAAAGGATCAGCTGACACATTAAAGGCAGATGACTTACTGTATGGATCGTCCTTGTTTCCGGTGCCGTTAACCTTTCCCTCCTCGCCAATGCGAAGGTAGAATTTCTGGGAGGAGAACAGTTTCCGCCAGCGCACGTCCCCTTGTAGATGCTTGTAGCTGCTTCGCACGTGCCGGCCAACGACCGTCGCAGACGACGATGACACATTGGTCGCCCTTGGCAACCTTGCAGAGGATGCGTGAAGCGGTGTGGGTGATGAGGAGGGTGGTGGGTATGAGATGAGGAAGTGAGGAGAAGTCCCTGCTGGTGCATTGCGGCCGTGTTCGGACGAAGCGGACAGCGGGGAGGATGAGGACGGTCCGAGCAGGAGAAGCAAGAGCAGCAAGGTGAGGGAGAGGTGTGAAGGAGGTCTACGGCAGGGGCAGGAGGAGAACCAGGCGGCCGGTGCACCTTGTGTCACTGTCCATCTACACATGGTAGTGGAGCTGGGAGAGCTGTGGATGTGCTCAGGGGCTGGGGCATGCTGAGCTGGTGCAGGGAAAGGGAATGAGAGTGGGAGAAACTCCCCCCAACTAAACCTCCTCTGTTTGGGAAACCCCAGCCTCACTGGGACTGTAGGTGTTAAAACCTGTAGAACAGCTGGGATGAAGATGGTGCGACTTGCTGTGGCAGATGTAGGTTGATCAGGAATATAAACGTTGATGTAGCGGGGGGTAATGGTGAAGCCCGCAGCGCTGTGGCTGACGCCGCTGTAGTCCCCCGGTGCTGTTTATTCCTCACAATCGTCACAGGAATGTGTCAACAACCATAACTCAGATCACCTCACAATGAGAACTACTAGGCGCGCTCCTCGGGGACCTCTCGCCTCCTCCTCCTACCTCTCCTCCTGACACTGCCACTCTCTGCTCCTGGTTTCTCAAAATCACTCAAAATCCCATTTTAAAGTTCACATCCAAAGACAAAAACACACATCATCAGTTCATTCACACAAACACACACACACGAACACACGCGTCCCAGACGATTTATCCCCCCTCAGTCCTGGTTGGAGGAGAAGCAGGTTAGGAAAAAAAGATGGCAAAGTGCTTAGTAAAAAAAAATAATAATAAAATAAATAAATAAAACAAGCAAGAAAAAAATAAAATAAAAATGCTGTTTCTTATGAAGTGTCCAGGCCACCAAAAAAAGGAAAAAAAGAAGGCGTCACAGAATCCAGACTTTCTTCTTTTCTTTCTTTGTTTCTCTTGTTTTGTCTGAGCTGGTTTGAAGTTACTTGAGTGTGTATCTGACCCCCGCGAGCTCTCGTCTTTCTCCCCTCTCTTGTAGTGCGTCTGTCAGTGGGCTGAGCTCCCTGTCTGTCCTCTGTCCTTGCCTCTCAGAGTCTGAATGCTGGAGCGGTGCGTTGCCTCTCTTCTTTCCTCCCGTGTGTGGCTCCCTCTCCTTTGGCCCCCTCCCTCTTTCCGTTGCCTCTCCCTCTCTCTCCTATCTGTCTATCAGTGGTTCGCTGGTTATTTGGAGTTTGTCTGAGGTGACTGAATCTTGTCTTTTCTTTCACCTTATTTATCTGCTGTAGTTCCCCAGATGTCATCTCTTAGTGTAATTGGACGTCTATTAAAACCACTCGGCTTTGAAGGGCTGTGTGCATTTATGTGTTTGTGCGGGAGAGGGGAGCAGGGGGTGGGGTGTTCTGTTCCACCCTGTTTTCGCCTTCCCTCCCTCTCCCCCATTTCTCTTTCTCCTCCCCTTCCCAGACCACTAGCTGAGCGGAGCAGGTCAGAAAGAAGGAAAGAGAGCCGTTCATCTCTCCCTCTCCCAGGTTTTTGGGAGTGTCATCCATCTTTCTGATCTTACTTTCCTCTTGATTAGAGGCACTTTTTTTTTAATTTACCAAACCGTCTGAAATACTAAACGCTGGCCAAACTTCACTCCAGGTTTGCCTGAAAAGAGCCGTCAAATCTGTTTAACAATTCATTGATGTATTTCTGACTGACTTGAAGCCAAATAATGACATCCGTGTCTTCTTTTAAATCGGCTGAAAAACTTGTGATAAACAGCTAATTTTCCCTTATTGCATCTTCTTACTGGCACTTAAAAACTCTCCTCCCTCTATGACACATGATTTCCTGACAGTGTCACAGACTTTCTCTTTCTGATTTAAAAATGCAAAAAATAGTTATGAAATGAGTCATCGTTCCTCAGCTGTTTTGACTAGCATTTAGCAATTTCTCAGCCTCAGTCACTTAAGCCCCTGAACCTTCTGAACACCTCTCTGTGTTTGGGTGATCGCTGTACCTGACGTGTGTTGCTGCATTTCACCTTTCAAGAATCTAGGTCTGCTGTCTGGCTTCAGCACTGTTTAATTTCCTATTCACATTGTCAGACAACAACCATATCTCCTCCTCTTCTTCTCTTCTTCTTAGTTTATCTAGTATTATTGCTGTAACAGCTCACGCCTGTCAATGGTATGCTGCAGACATATTTGACTTTTAAACAATTCCATTTGGGGATGGATCAGTTGCACAGAAATAACCGTGTAAAGACAACCTGTACACTTTCAGTCAGCCAGTGTTTCCCTCTGCGGTGGTAACTCCAGCTGAGAATGGACAGATGTTGGGCGCTGCCAGCAATCTGTCGTTCATGTCAGCTTTACAGCCTTGTCTTTCCCGCTGAGGTCCCGACTTCACAGATGGTGAAGATTGATTTGATGAAGGCCAACCACTGTGCAGAATGTCATGATGAAATGACGATCAATCACTGCATAAGTTTAGTATGTATTCTTAAGTGATAGGCAACAGAAAAAATCCTGCACGTGCCGATGTTGTTTCTACTTTTTTCTTTTATGGACTTTACAAAGTAAGAGCGCAACTAATTATTTTAATCCATGAGTTCGCGGGCTAATTGTTTTCTCAAATTAATAAATGATTTCATATATTAAATGGCAAAAAACGTTACTAATTGTTTTGAAGCTCAGTGCAGCTGCATGTGAACTCCAGACAATGTTGGGAAATTTCCTTAGGGACTAATAAAGTATTCTGATTCTGATTCTGAAAATCAAATTGGGGTATTGTTCACAGTTGGTCGTCTGTCTGGACATACTTTGCTGAAGATGCTGGTTGGGTGAAATGTGCAGTAAGAAGCATTACATGCCCTCATGGTTGAAAACCTAGCAGACTACCCGCTGACCCCCTGACTGAATACAAAGTAATCAATAGCTGCAGCGTACACATACACATCATTCTCTTGCAACTAGTTGTCAGATGGTCATCAACTGGTCTCTAGGCCTGTGTGACTGAGGCTTACGAGGGACCCTCCAGGGTCAGTTCTATCTAAAATAACAAAATCAACCAACTGTTAAACTCCTTACTTGGACTTTTTCCACATGTATGCTGTTGGCATCGTTCAGCACCGCGGACAGCACTTGACAGTGTGCTATTCCAATATGTTAATGCTTTAATTGAAGCATGTCACCTTTGAAATCACAACAGTTCTTGCCTCCGTTTAACTTTTTATTCTGTTCAGTAGAGATTGAGGTGACTCTCTTAGGAAGATGGAGAACAAAAAGATATCCCGCTGATGGAGAAAGCGGAAGAGTCCCAGAAATATGGTCTTAGTTGATGTGACGTAGCGTGCCAAGTTATATAACTTGTTCTTTCATTTAGGGTCTATAAGTCTCTAATGGTGATACAGTTATAAGTTATAAACAACACATATTTTAAAAAAAATGTAACTTGCATTAATAATGCTTAACTGCACAAAAATAGCAAAGTAATTAAGTGTAACTGAATCCTGTTAAATCAGTAATACAACTCTACTTTTATCTAGTTGTAAAAACAACACCATTAAAGTATTTTATGTCAGTAATAATCTTTTTTCCTGGATGCCTTTTGTAAAGATACTGTGCACTTGTAATTGGCTTTAGGTGCAGCTATGAACGCAGAAGACCTTACTGTAAGCTAAGCATGCTTGATGTGAGCCAAACTACTGCAAAAATGAATTAATTTGGACTTCTGCAGCAAGTGTGGAGAACTCTGAGGGAAAATAATGAGGGGAAAGACAGAAAGATGCCAAGAGATAGAGCAAGAGAGGGAGAAAAGGACAGAAAACATCTGGTCAGTGGCTCTGTGGTTTGATGTTAGGGTCTAGATTGACAACACACAATGCGCACATTCCACACACACACACACACACACACACACACACACACACACACACACACACACACACACACACACACACACACACACACAGAGTATGTTTCTGAACCCTCTGTCACTGCACTGATGTTTTTTAAGCTGTATAATCATTGGTCTGTGGTAACGGTATGCACATTGCACTAATGAACTAATAATGAGTTACCGATCAGTTTCCGACTGATCTCTTCATTGCATTGCCCTGCAGTCTCGTTGTTTTGTGTAACCGTCCTAACAAGACTCAGATGTTGGAAGTCAGTTGTCCGTGAGGGGAAAAAAAAAGCTTCATCACACCAGAAAACAATTTTCTGGATTGAGTGAAGCACCACATATTGGATTTTTTTTTTCTAAACTATTTAGGAAAGCTGCAGGGGTTTCCCTCTCTGGAGCTGCTGTCATTCAAATGTTGTTTACTCTACTTCAAGCGACATGTGATCCCAAGATTGTTTTCATTCAGCGCAATGAATTTTATAGTAACGGCAAATATATATTTCCAAATACTGCGCAATACATAGCATGATCCCGCTGAAAAAATAACTATCTGTCGTCACCACAGTTGCAGTAAGTCTTGTATATTTTAGTTATGTTGTAAAAGCAGTGCTGTGCTAATGATGAAGTGTTTTAGATGTGGCCACGTTTCTCAAAAATCTTTTTCTTCTCTTGTAGGAAAGGAATTAGTTTCATTGTCTCGTGGTTTTGGCTAAAATTTGCGTTGCAATCTGAGGCCAAGCTTCAAAGTCCCAGAGAGCTGAAGAGCAGATCTGGGATCAGCACCCAAAGCTAATGGCTGTAATCGTATTTATTCCCAAAGAGCTGTGTGGATTTTAGAACAGCTAATTTGAATGGCTTTGCAGACTCTTGCCCACATGAGCTGACGCTGGTCCCCTCCGGCTCCGTTGGTCATGCCTTGAATAAGTCCTGATTGCTCATGCCTAGGAGGAGAAAGCCATTACGGACCAGAAGTTTGGCGCGCTGATTCTAATTGTTTCATTGCGGTTGAGCTGGTGGCTTTGAACTCATTATGGTCTTCAAACTAACTCTGCAGAAATGACCCTGGCATTTAACTTTAATTACAAGAACATTAAAGCTGTTACAGATAAAAGGAGCTCCTGCGATAAGCTAACTTACAGATAAACTATGGTTGCGACCAAGCTGCGGAACAGATAATTCTCAGCGAATGCAAACCATCAGTGACAACTTTAATAATCCCAAGCACTTTGATTACAATCTGTTTCAAGCAATGGTTTGAATGGTTTAAGCAAATCGGAGTCCACTTTAAAGGTAGTTTTACTGCCCCTCCCACTGAGCGAATTATTTTTGCCATTTAGTTGCAATGAAATGCAAACAAACGTGGATCAGCAGGTTAACTGCAGCAACGAGAAAAACATGAGTGAACACTTATTTGTCAGTCAGTTTGAGAAGGTATGCTAGACTCTTGAGCAAAGACACACGATGTTCAGATCGCATAAACAAAGAAGTTCTGAGACGGTGACCTGGAACAATAAGGGTGATTTATGGTTCACACACCACAGTATTTCCGATGGTCTCTTGATACTAAAAAAGTTAAAATAAAAAACAAAAAAAAAAAGCACATACAGACAACACTGTCTTCAAGTAATAATTCCCTTCAGATAACGACACACTTTAAAGTTCTGATGATCTGGTTTCTGTCATTGACTGGAATGTTTTATTGTTTAGAAATTAAAACATACAACATCATATGAGCCACACATGAGGATTTTCTTGTGAAGGGAGAACCTTTGCCTTGGAGGCCTAATTCAGCTCACTATTGGATTCTCTAAAGGATTCTTGAAAGAGATTCTACAGCCTATTTCACACTGGACTGAAAAGCTTTCGAACACCCATTAACATCTGGCTTTTGTCTTCTTTATGAACGAGAACAATTTGCAGTTAACAATCAGGTCAAATGGCTTTGCAGTATTTATTATCTTGCAAAAATAGAAACATATGATGATGCTGTCACCTCTACTGGTAACTTCAGCGACTCTGTGATTTCAGCCAAAAATGTCATAAAAAAGACAGAAAGGAGAAAACATTCCCCAGAAACCTCGTGGTGGTGGGATGCACTACCATGAGGGTTAAGAATTTTTGAAAAAACTGACACTGATCAGACAAAAAGGGTAACAACACTAAGCTGTGAGGCTCTAACAGCAGAGCGAATGGTGCGACCCTGACACCTGCTCCAATCACATGGCAGCAGCTCAGTACATTTAGGCATGTACAGGTGGTAGAAAAGGACATGCTGAAATACAAACTGAGCATCAGATATATTTTATTAACCAGTTCGATACTAATACTGAAAAATCGATTCTTCCAATACCAGATAGTTATATTCTGCAATCTATTCTCATATTAAAATATCAATATTTTAGTAAATTGTGGTAAATTTGTAGGTTGTCTA